ATTTATATAGGTTTTGGGGCTTTAAGGGTTTTCTCTGCTGTTTAGGGTTTAGGGTTTAGGGTTTTATAAACTAAGAAAAACGCTAGGAGACAGAGAGAAAAGGCGAAGGAAAACTACAAAGGCAGGAGGGACAGAGAAGACTGAACCCGCTCTACGGTGTACAGACACCACAAGCCTTTTAGCTGAGGCTTGAGGGGAGAGAAACGTTAGGTAGAAACACTTTTGCTGCATTTGTCTCTGTTTTTTCTTGTTTGCCTGTCTGCTTGTCTGTCTCCTCATGTGTCTCTACCTGCGTGCTTTTCTTCTATCTCTCTCTGCATTGTCACGACCCCAAACCCTAAACCCCAAACCCTTTTTCAGTAGGGCGTATATCTCTGCGGCTATTTCTCCTGCATATGCATCCCCAGATTTACGGTCTAGGGTCTACTAGGGTTTAGGGTTTAGGGTTTAGGGTTTAGCTTGCCTGGGAGTAGAGAGCAGCCGTCATATAGAAAGCGATGAATGTAATAACAGCGTAAAAACAAAACACCAAAATACTCAGAGACCAAACGGGCCAGCACGAGCAGTCATCAAGACACACGTCAGAGTCCTGCAGCATACAAACAAAAAACAATACATAAATAAATAAATAAATAAATACATGTATAAATAGATTCATAAATAAACAGATATATAAGTACTAAGAAAATAAATGGACATATACACACATAAATTAATAATTAAATAAGCGTATAAATACATAAACAAACGGATACAGAAACAAAAAAGGAAACAAATACNAAATTAATAATTAAATAAGCGTATAAATACATAAACAAACGGATACAGAAACAAAAAAGGAAACAAATACACAAATAAAGAAACATACAAATAAATCAACTAAAAAGAGGACGAAAAAACAAACAAACAAATAAACAGAAAGCAAATAAACTATCAATTAAACGACCAAGCAAACACACAAGAGGGAAAACACAAACACAAGCATGAGCTGCAGCAGCAAAAGAGCAGCAGCAGCAAAAGAGCAACAGCAGCAACGGAGCAGCAGCATAGGGGAAACGTAGACAGAAAGCAGGCAAAGCGGCATGCGATATATGTAGTAAAAGATAGAGAGAACAACACAAAGACAAAGCAGCAGCAGCAGCAGCAGCAGCAGCAGCAGCAAAGATGAAGCAGCAGCAAAGCGTACGTAATGTGCGGCAATGTGCTTGAGGACAACTGTCTTCTCCGTAGTTGTTGCTCCTGTTGCTGCAGCTGCTGCTGCAGCTTCTGCTGCTGCAGCTTCTGCTGCTGCTGCATCATCGACCTCGGGAGAAACGCCTGTAGGAATTCCTTCTGCTAGTGGGGCTGCTGCGGGTGGTGTAAGTGCTTGCGAAGGTGCAGCATCTCTTGTTTGTGCTGCTCCCGGTGCTGCAGGTGCTGCAGCAGCAGCAGCAGGAGTTGCTGCTTCTGCAGGAGCTGCTTCCGGCTGCACCTGCGGCATCTTCACATCTGTTGCAGTTAAGACAGCAGGCTGGTTAGGGTTAGCTGCATCGGTGGGGGCAGTTCCTTCTCCTGCTGGTGGTGGTGTTGGTGGTGGTGCTGCTGCTGCTGGTGCTGCTGTTTCCGCTGCTGCTTCTGGTGCTGCTGCAGCTGCCTCTGACGGAGCTGCTGCTGACTCTGTCGGCGTTGATTGTGGCGGTGGGGGTGGTGGGGGTGGTGCTGCTGCTGCTGCTGCTGCTGCTGGTTCCTGTGCTGCTGCTGTTGCTGCAGGCGCTTCTGCAGCTGGTGACGCTTGGGCTGGTGGTGGAGGCGGTGGGGCACCGGCTTGTGCTTGAGCTGGTGCTGGTGCTGCTTGCAACGGCCCTTGTCCTGCTGCTGCAGATTCTGCTGCGGGTGCTGCTGCTGCTGCTGCTGTTGAAGGATCTGATGCTCCGTTTCCAGCAGCAGAAGGTGCAGCAGGGGGCGGCGGTGCAGCAGCAGCAGCGGGAGCTGGTGCTGCTGCACTGTCTGCTGTCTGCACTGGAGCTGCGGGGGTCGCTGCTTCTGGCCCTTGTGCTGCTGCTCCTCCCCCAGCAGCAGCAGCATCAGCAGGTCCTTCCTGTTGATCAACATGCAAGAAGGTCGGGTAGGCAACTCCGCTGCCCCTCAGACCGTCCCGTTGTTGTTGTTGCTGCTGCAGCTGCTGCAGCTGCTGCAGCTGCTGCAGCTGCTGCTGCTGCTGCTGCTGCGCGTCATGCGTGTGCTGAACAATTGTCTGCAAGCGGCTAGACAAAGTCAGGGGTTCGCTCGCGAGGCCCCCCACCCTTGCGGGAGGCCATGAAGCTGCACTTGCTGCACCTGCAGCAGCTGCTGCTGCAGCAGCTGCTGCGGCTGCTGCAGCGGCTGCACCTCTTGCAGAGGCCAGCAGCGATAGGAGGAGACAGAAGGCAGCGGCCTGCTGCCTGAAAGGCCCCCACATTACCGTGGGTGTGCAAGCGAGCACGCGGCGCCACCTAAACTACTGATGCTATTGCTGCTGTTGTTGCCGCTGGAGCTACTTCTACTGCTGCAGTTGCTGCTGCTGCTGCTTGGATTGCTGCTGCTGCTGCTGCCGCTGCGGGGCCCTTTGATCAGTGCGAGGTTCAAAGGGGGCAGACTTGTTGCTTCTTTCTGACTCTGCTTTCTCTCACTACACCACAGCTTGATGCGCGCATTAATAACGAAGAAGGCAGCGGCTGTTTCGCAACGGCGTCATCGCTGGCTAGGGAGGCAGTGGTGCGGCGGCAGCTGGCTCCTGAGGCTAAATAAAGTCTCGCATGGAGGTCATATGCATTGAAACAACGTTGTGAAATGAAGAAGGAAACAAAGGAAAGCGAGAGGCGACAGGAGGAAGCCGACCAAAAACCGTCGCAGCGAACGACGGTGAGCACATAGACGGGGGCAAGCACGGAAGCGCTTGCAGAAACGGGAGTTTAAAAAGGGAATTTGAGTCACTAAATGAAGTAAACCAGGAAGAGAGGGGAAAATAAAGGAGAGGAAGAAGAAATAGAGAGAAAAAGACCCGCAAGTCCCACAAGTTGATGCCGGGAACGCCAGCTAGTGGATCGAGGCACGTCTCGGCAGTGTTTGTACACCCTAATCCGCTATTCAAAAAACCTTTATCTCATTGAATTTCTCTCTATTCTTGTTAAGTGTGTTTAAAAACCAAGGGGAAAGCATGGGATTTAGGTCCTGCAATAACGATAGACAACACCGCAACTGCCTCAAGCCGCCGCTGACCATCGGCCTACAGCCATGCCTACAGCCAGTGGCAGCCGATACACCCGAAAAGGCGAAATTTGTGATTATAAATGATGAAAACCGAAAAGGTTTTGTTTTTTCATGTTATATCAAGGCAGCTTCAAGCCACAGAAGTGGAGGAGGAAGCCCCGCTACAAAACAGCTATTTGAATCAGCGTGCCTGCTGCAGTCTACACAGACACCCGATGGTACTAAATGGAAACCCTGTGATTCTCCCGTACCTTCGCACAGTCTAATCCCGTGTTGACTCATATTCCATGAACAGCTCTGAGAAGCCTCATCGTGAACGTTGCTGCTGCTGCATCGCGACCACCAGCTGGTGCAGTTTGCCTGTTTGTATTGAGCTCACCGCTGCTCCCGATACTCCGTTGTATTCAGCCTGCGTGCTGTGCAGGCTAGAGAGATAAGGAGGGCTGTTGAGATGAATATGTTTAGTGCTAAAATGCCAAGGGTGTGTCCCCTGCTGTTGAGCTAGTCCCTGTATCTGTTTTCCCTGAGAATGCAAAGCAATAGTTAATTTGATTGCTTGAACCAAATGAGCATCTCCTCTACTCCATTCGAGCTTACTGGGAACAATAAAAAGCTGAAAAAAAGAAATGAATTGCGGGCCTCTGCAACTGCAGAGCGGTAGTTGTATTGAACAAAAGCTGCTTCGCATACACCAGTCGCTTCGTCTGCTCAAACCCTACTGTATGCTTTCCTTTTGTTTGTTTACTTCAAGGTATCAGTGAATAGGATAGTTGTCACGGCAGGTGGGGTGCCTTAAGCGATTCACGCAGGCCCCCAAAGCAGCTAGTTACCTGTTGTACTAGCTAGCTGGGTAGCTAGCTGGATCATCCATCCTACCTACTCCGGCTTTTAGCTAGCCAACTACACTACACCTATTCTCAGGAACTTCCGAGAAGCATCAACATGTTCAGTGTTCCTGAACTGCAGATGAGTGATCCCTCCGCGTGGCTGGCCGTGCGAGTAATACTTCTTTAGATGCTGAGGCCCTAGGTACTTCCTCTGTAGTAGTTGCAGCCTTACAGGCTTCTTCTTCAGGAGTTGCGGCCTTCAATATTCGAATACGTGCCGGATGCTGCTGGTTTCTTCGATCTTTACGGCTGGGATTTTTGGTATACGGATGGAAGCTGCTGCTGAAAATTCATATTCGTTACTTTTTGCAGTACTCATGTGCATAATGATAGATAAAATATGCCGTAGACTGGCTGATCAAGATGCGCGCAGGCAAATATAACGAAGCGGGATGAATGTATCCTTAAATTTCATACATGCAGTGCAAGAAAGACAGCGAATGCATGTCCCCTAGAAACGGTTTTACCGCTCATCCGGGCCTCGAAGATGTACGGTGAGTTCTCGCAGTGGCAACTGCTCCATCTCCGTTAGCAGACTCAGCGCCAGCAGTAGCATCAGATAGCGTGAGCCCGCATCAGCAGCATCAGAAGCAGAATATTAAAATCATCTGATGTTGCAAAAGACGCAATGGATTATATGCCTCTGCGTATACTGCGCTGCTACAGCTGCAGCTCCTGCTGCAGCAGGAGTTGTCTCTACTGCGACACAGGGCAAAGCAATGCAGCTAAGTAGGTCGAACAGTGCAAGCAAATACCCAGCTTTAATGCAACTGCAAGGGTCTTTTTGTATGTTGAACTCTCGCTAGTTGCCCTGAGCTCCTTCTTTTGTTGCTAGAAACGTCGAGACAAATAGAAAGAGGAGTGGTGGAAGAGAGAGGCTGAGAGGCCTCAGGTTTGTACGGGAGGGAGTGCTATGAGAGCAACTATTAATGCACAGCCCTTAATATGAAGCAGATAGGGAAGAAGCACTGGCTAGCGCTGCAAATGGAACCCCAAATTGAGCATAATGGCACGCACATCTCAGTAATGAATTCAGCCTTATACATCGCGGCCATTTCTACTTTAAACAACGCTCCTAACAGGCTTTACAAATCTGCTTTTTACAGACAATGGCTCCACCGAAGCTATGCGGGAAAGCAGGGAAAACAGTGCAGGATATGCTTGGACGGAACGCCAAAAGAGTGTTTAAGGGGTAATAGCCTCGTTTTTTGTTTGCGTCTGAGAAAAACAAGTCCTTTGGATTCAAATGCTGAAAAGGACGCATGAAATGCAGAAAGACACGTCACAGATTCACAGAATATCTGCAAAGGAGGAATAAGGATGACATTAGCAGAGGGGTCTCCAGAACAGTCTGGGGATGAGTTCCAGCCTTTGAGCTCACCTGCAGCTTACGAATTAAGAAGTGTCGTGTTTAATATGATTACACAACGGCCCTCACTGCAAGCTTTTCTCTATTCGTTTCAGGTGAAGGCGATAAACCGAATGAGATGGGGTATTTGTATATATTCGTCCAGCTTCGATTCTGCCCGTGCCTGCAGTTTGTTGGTTCTTTTGAGCAGCAGCAAATCATACATCATGAATTAAAGGGAAACGGGCATAAGCTGAAGCAAATATTTCTGACGTGTGTTGAGGCAGACGGGCGAAAGCGATTATTCAGTTTACTGGCATTCAACTCTGAAGCGCTGAGGGTGGTGATAGTTGAAATAACCGGGTAGTTTGTTTGTTCTACAAATTACAATGGTGTTAATATGCTCTTTTAATAAAAACTGCAGAGGAATTCGCGAATGTAGTATGCCAATTCCAGCAGAAGTCCAGTGGACAGTCCCGCGGTCGTCATGGAACCATCGACCGCTTTTGCCAGAGACGGCTGTGAGCGCGAAGCATACCCTGAATCGGGTTTATTTATTTGTTTTCGTCATTATTTTCCCTTGAGACTCAAAGGAAACGGGAAATAACAATGACTGGTATTGTGTTTAAGAGTCTCACGCTCAGCCCGTAGCCTCGAGGTGGCGGGCCAGAGGCTTTCGCGCAATTTTTGTTTTCCTTCATTTTTCTTTACTCTCTATTATCCCTTTTCTCAACTGCTAATTCCTTTTTTGCTGTTCATGACAGGTACTTCATGTCTCTTCCCCCCACCCGTCCAGGTGACCCTGCAGCCTCCCCTAGATCGAAGGGTGTGTGTGCAGATCATTATGCCATCCACGGTCACCTTACACCTGACTCACAACTTTTACAATCGATTCCCCCTTTCCCCACAGGCTCTCGAGCTTAAAGGCTTGCAAGGAGGGTGAGCGCAGGTCTGTGCACCGCACCCACAGACTGAATAGGGAAGAGGGGCTACAGCAACGATGGCGGGCTTTAACCCCGAGATGATCTCTGCTAGTACCGCTCCGCTACCCCGAACAGCACCTGCCCACTCCAGTTCAAGCCTTTCTACAGGTCCTCCAGGTCCTCCATCAGATCCAGGAGCAGCTGGAGGCTTTTCAGAAGCTCGCCCGCGGCGTGCTGAAACTGCACAATGCAGCATACCAAACTTCCAAAGGCAGGAAGCACTGCCCCCAAACAGTCTGCCAACGGGTCCCCATGGAGACATGCATGGGGCGCGTGGGCGAAAGAGGGACAGTGAAGCAGGCGACGCGTACAAAACATGCAGTGCATGCAGTCCAAAGAGGGAAGGAGACTTGGGCGGCGTTATTCAGGAATACCAAAAGGAGAATCTAGATGCCCAGAGCTACTCTTCTTTTGTGCTTACCGAGTGCCCAGCATTGGAACCGACGGAAGCGTTTCAACAGCTGCGGAAACCGCCTATTTTGCGAGCTGCTTTCTTCAGAGGTGCTGCGAAGTTGTCCGCAGAAACCGATCGCATATTTGTGCTCCTTTGGCGGGCATTCATGTTCAGATTCAGGTACCCAATCATGACCCTCATAGGCCTCCTAGTTCCAGGTAAGACACTTCTTGACCTTACCCAGCAAAATAAATATAAAAACACAAGAACTAACGCTTGCAAAGCACATATTGCCTCCCTCTGCTATTAGTAGCTCAAATATCCTATTACGATAAAGGGAGCTTTTAACTTTGCTTCATTTGTCCCTTGAGCGCCCTTTGTGTATTCAGTTGCTCTCGTGGCATCCGCATGCACCATCCTTGCCCACTATCAAGACGTTGAGGTGAGCAGGAGAAGGACAACCCATCCGGCAGTTGCAGATGGATGGCCAAAAATAAAACGCCTGCAGTAGAACAGCGAGAGTGTTGTGGTTCCTGCTTGCCTGTATGGATATGCCTTCTCACATTGTTCCTTAAAGTGTTTTATGTAAATATTCCTACATTAGAGAGATTATTTGCGCTAAATCATGCATAACTTTTTCTGGATCTTTTACTCGTAGTATTTCATATTTTCGAGGTGCACGTGAATGCTCATATCCATATGCTAGGTACAAGGATGCATTAAAAACACCATTCTAGCCTCGGATGGGGTAAGCGACTTCTGGTGAGGTGACCTGCGTTGGAAGAGGCCCAAGATAGCCCCTGTCTGTTTCTCCTGTCCTTGCAGTTAAACTATGTACCAACCAACATGACGGCTCGCCGACACATGGTCTGCAACTTCGCTGCATACATAAACAGAACCCGGGTCGTGAAAGTGGACAGCAGTAAGCCGAAAGACCGCTGGTCCTTTTGAAGCCAGTCTTTTCAGATCCGCTCACAAACGCTTAGTATACACTCCCAGGCACAAGATGTGCCATGTGGCAGCAGACAGAGTATCGCCGCTTCAAGAAATAAAGCTTATTATAGTTGTAAACATATCTATCTTAGAAGGAAGTATTGTCACTTAACTGAACAAAGCATTTGCAAACTCCGTGCCAGTACGATGACACAAACACTGAACTGAAGAAACATACGGAGGAGTGTGTGCTCGGCAGTGTACCTAAAGGACCTACTTGCTACGGGGAGGTTGATTTGACTCAGTTTTCGCGTTTTGTGAGGGTTTTGGAATGCGCAGATCTGTGTATGCCTCCATCGAATATGATGGGTTCATTCGGCCGCCGATACGACGGCCTGCACATGATGTATTTGCCACTTGTGCTCCACTACGGAGGCTTTCTGGCCTTCGTAGACAAGGGGGGCTCAGACTGCCAGCAGCTCCGCCTCTTCATGGAAAAGTTTGCCGAAACAGTGTCCCCATGTAAGCCGGGTCTATTCTCCCCTGCATATCTAGCGCTCCGCATCTGCACTTCCTTGGGTTTAACTAGCACCAAACGGTTGCTGGCTTTGCTGATATATATATATATATATATATATATATATATATGTATACATATGAAGGCATATGTATAGACAAATAAATNATATATATATATATATATATATATATATATATATGTATACATATGAAGGCATATGTATAGACAAATAAATACAATGGAGTAATTCTGCTGCTGTTGTATGATGCGGACTGCTCCGTCAGACCTTATGAGACGGACCACCGCGGAGGATCTGTTCATCACGTTTCCTTCGGAGAAAGCGCTAGACAAATACCGCCGGGCAGCTGCAGCTGAAAAAAAACGGCCGATTCATTCAGCGTTCATCTGCAGAGCCACAGCGCCAGGACAACTGGACGTGACAATACGTATGCACGTGCGCAGGGGAACGGTGAGTACAACAAACCCCAAGGGCAGATATACACGAACTGCAACACAGCTTTGAGTTCCCCTGGGTCTTGTGCCCAGGCCCTAAGGGGATCCAAAGGCCTTGGATGAATCATTTGGCTGCTTCGCCTCATTCACTGCTCCATCAGTCCCTCACAAACTCCCGCGCTGGCGGGGTACACCATTCCTTCCCTATATACATATAATATATATACATATGTATATACATATATATAGATATATAATTATAATATACATATATATTATATGCATATAACATGCATTCATTTGCCCCCAGGACAGAAAGTGTAAGCACGGGTATATTCAGGCGGAGGCAGTTGTGCGCTTTGTTGTTCGCTTAATATGTGATTGCAGCCTCGCTCTTTTGCGAATGACGCGATAAAGTTTCTGCGGAGGCACTATACGAGTTACAACTCCACGACCTATTTTGGGGGGGCCAGCTTTCTCTTGCACACGGATGTGGTTGGGACTCCCGACGAAGGGGAACCCTACGGCCATCTGACAGGGGGATTCTTGGACCTTTTGACTCTGGCTCATGTCTTCAATATGGATCGAACTAAAGTCCGCGAGCTCCCTGAACACTCCCCAGGTAAGATTTGGATGAAAGCATCGTAGCATGAGAGAGACCATCTGCTTTGTCTACTGCTAATACAGCGATTGTCTGGAAAACTGCAGTAGAAGTAACCATAGAGAAGGGACGATCTGACTGGGGGGGTTGCGTATGCATTGTGTCTCAGTTTCGCAGGACTTTCAGTCCCAGTGGGAGCGGATATCCGAGGCCTTTTACAGGATGTTTCATTACTTCGGCCGAATCCCCGTGATCGACAGCGTCGGTGAGTGCTGAAGGACTTTCGAGGCGAGAGAGAGGGAGAAACTGCAGAGGACTGCAGAGAGTCATCATGTACTCTGCTGTGGACCTGCGGGCAACAACTACAGGGGATGCATTGACCAGCTACAATAAAACAGGACAGCATAGGGAATCCACATGAGCGAACTACGGATATTATACGATGCATTCCTAATAAGCACCCAGCCGGGCTAAGTAAAGCTTGTTGACGCTAGCGGAGTTCTTTGTATTAGTATCTTGCTGCTCCTTCTTGTTTCTTGTTGCGTGTTGTGAACTTCCTTAGCATTATCAAGGAACCGAAGAGGACTAGTTAATTCGTTTGTCAGGGATGCCGAGCGTCACTTGTCAGAGATGTTGGCCCTTGTTATTTGCATTTCAGCTGCGAACGGTCAAGCGGACCCACCAGGTAATTTCAAAATTGGGCGTATTCGCTTTTCCTCCTCTCGTGCTTGCTGTCAACAAATAGCATCATCATCCAGCATACACACGCACTTCCTGTTGTCCGGCAAACTCCCCAAGCGTGTGCAACTTTTGCAGAGTGAATGATTTTGAGGTACTAACAACTGTATGCTCTTCGCAGGTTTATCTCACGTGTACCGGCACTTGCTGCCTGCGTGGGTGCTGGGCCCTGGATACGGCGTAGTCCGTCTGTTTACGCGAAGAGCAGCAGCGTCGGGGTGTGACCCTTCGTCATCGTCTATGCAATTACTGGAGAAAGTACGTCATTTCCAGTTTCTCCGTTAGGTGCACTTGCAGAGACCCTCCAATATGAGCGCTGGTGTTTCTCCATCCAACCCTGGGTGTGGAAAAAAGCATATTCGCAAACTAAGGATTGAACGAAAGAAATCTGTCAGTGCGCTGCCTTGCAGGTGTTCTACTCCCGCACCCAGAAAATGGGACTCGGCTTGATTATGGCGGCAGTCGGCCCGCTCCAGGCTATCCTGCGAAATGTCAGTGCCCCTGTGCGTCGGGCGTACAGTCCCGTCAACTTTTTGTGAGTTTTGTATAGTGTCTATATCCTCCTGAAATGTTTTCGGGAAGGAGTTGACGCAGTTGCAGAAATCCTCCGTTTGCCATATAGAAGTTGTTTAGTCCACAAGTAAACATGAGCCAGGATGTGTTCAATGGTTTGCAGTTGCAGAGAATCTGCGACGAGCTGAGGTGTAATGAGTGTCAAGTAATGGCATTGGTGATTAGTGCGCTGCGTGCTGCGTTCATGCTTAGGGAAACGGCAATGCCTTTTGTTCCCGCAACTGTAATATCGCGCTCTGAAAAACCCCATTCTTGTGCTGCACCCTTCGTCGTTTTGTTCGTCTGCATTCTTTGGCAAGTAGTGAAGGCGATTATGGTCGACAAAGAAACGGGATTCAAAGTGGGCCAAAGCTTCCCTAATCACTACATATCTGTCGCGCGCATTCGGCCCATGATATTTCGCTTTTAGTGGAATATCTCCAATTTCCTCTGGAAGTTTAGCTCTTAAAACGATTGAGGATGGGTGAGGGATATATATATTTGTCTCAATATGTAAGGTACGGTGCTGAAGTGTTTTTCTATGTTGCTGCAGAACATGCTTAAGATCTTGGGGATATCGGATAGAGTATTGTGGACATCGTGGTATCTGTTTTTCACTCTCTACAACTTGCCTACGCTTGTAGCGGTTGCATATATTTCGCATTATTTTGCTTTCCAGCTGAGCGATATTTGGTTTATCATTTTTCTATTTATGCTTGGGCTGGTCGCCTCCATTTCCTTTGCCCTGTTCGTCACCGCGTTGTTTATGGACGGGAACCTTGCAGGTAGGTTTTTATTGCCGTTGCTTGCTGGGCCTTGAAGAGGGCTGGTGGATGCCTCATTCTGTCTCCCTGCAACGTTTTGGTTGCCCTTTTTGCCTGGCTTCACATTGGTCTAAGCGGTTCTGCGATATCTATTTGCGGCAGATTTCGTTAGTTGGGGCCTGGGTGAGCATTTAGTCCTGGCTGTCTCTGCTGCCTGTGCGTGTTGTGAGCAGCCATGGCTGCGTGTGCGTGGTACGTTCTAATATGGGTACCCGTTGTTTGCCAACGATTTGGCAGTGCTGCTTGGGACCCACACTTGCAACGACTCTTCATGGCTATTTGCCCTGCAGCGGCACTCGGCGTGGTACGTCATAATACAATGCAACTTCTAACACGATGCGCTTGTAGGATATATTTGTGTATTCAACCACCCATTATATATAATATAACGCAGAAGATAAAACGTGTCCCCCTGTCGAGCCACATATACATGTATTCAGTACATTATCGTGCATAATATAGCACAGAAAAGCTGTCACCTTTCGTTCTGGAGGAAAGCCAACGCGGGCCTCCATTTACTCTTTCACCTTCTCTGCAATCCGCCTGCTTAGGGAATAGACATTGCGTGGAATTTCAACGAGCCGTACATTGGCGGCATTCGCAGCAGTACAATTAAGTGAGCTCTCTCTTCACTCCGAGTAGTTAGCTGTACACCTACCCCTGCAGTAGACTGCTTGCATATAGAACACTGCCGCTTGTGGTATTATTCCTCTGCGTGTTCTGTTTGTATGTGTTTGCTTGAAGTACCTCTTCTCTCGGCATTACACTGGCGGACACTTACATTACTTTGGGCATAAGCATAGTTCTCTTCACGTGCCTCGGCGCCTACCTGCACAAGGTCAAGCCAAGTACGTGTTGGTGGGGAAGTGGGCAGGGAGATAGTGCTGATGCCTTTTATAACTCCTCCGTAAACGCTAGCTCAGCAGCTGCAGCAACAGCAGACTCGGCAGTTGGCATTTTTTTTAACTCAGTGTAGATATGTTTGCTGCTTCTTATGGGCTCGGCTGACCTATGCGTTTGGATTCTGCCCTTCCTTAGCGTCTAGTGGAAGCCCCGCCCACCCTCTCTTTTTCCTGTTCCCCATTTTAAGTTGCATTCGCCGGCCGTGCACTTTGTGTTCTCGAAGAAAGCAGCCGAAGGACTCACAAGAACTCCAAGAGGCTTCGGCAGGCCCCTTCTGCGGAGAAAACAGGGGAGGGGAAAATGACGGCAAGGTACAGCTCTCCATCAGCTTATCTCTCAGGAGCTAATATATTTATTAAAGCCTCTACCCTCGACAAAGGGCGTACCCATGAGCTGTGCTGCCGCCGTGGTTCTGCATCTGAATATCTAAAATACATTTGTTGGTCGCTTGTCTGTATGCAGCCCCTCCTGGAGGTTCGCAGCGTGCACAAGAAGTTCCGTACGTGGCAGACGAAGAAATGTTCCCGAGGTTCTGTCAAGGCAGTTAGAGGGGTTTCTTTTTCGGTGTATCGCAACGAGATATTCGGTCTGCTAGGACAGAATGGGGCGGGGAAGTCGACGCTGATTTCTGTCATCACGGGGTCGCTTGCTGCAACTAGCGGAGATGTCCTCATAGACGGAGTATCCGTGAAGCAGTATCCTTCCCTTGCACGATGCAATATCGGGTAGGGCGGTTGGGTGTTGCTCCGAGCCGCAACCGATTCAAATACACACTGTCAATGGTGCCATATGGTGCTACTGAGGGTATAGTATTTAATTCTGAAAACACTTTTCTAGGCATCAAAGACGTTAATTTGTCAGTTTTAGTTACTTTACCACTCAGACAGGCCATATGCAATCTGCAAGTGCAGTTGCGCGCACGTCGGCACTGTATAGCTTCCAACTGTTCGTGTATTACTGCTTGTCTTGCTGTCAGGTACTGCCCTCAATTTGACGTTTTGCTTCCCTATTTAACCATTGAAGAGACCCTCTGGCTCTATGCAGCTCTCCGTGGTATTCCGAGGAGGCGCCGGAAAGAGGAGGTTGCAGAACTCATGAACATGGTAGGCCGTTCACTGATACCGAAACAAACCGACGTACTGCAGCCCGTACGCCAGCAGTTTCGTGCCGCTGGGCAGCTTCAATGACAACTGGTGTTATTTCTAATTCTAACAAAGTCGCCTACACTCCACTGTCGTCAACCTCTCTTTTGTTAGTGAGCCAGATGTCTTGGTGCTTTTGGTTCCATTACTGCTGCGGACGTTTAGATGAAGCTCTCGGAAATGGCTAAGGTGCAGGTGGTCGCACTCAGTGGAGGCTGGCGAAGACGCGTGAGCAGCTCTGTTGCATTCCTCGGCGATCCAACAATTGTCTTTCTCGACGAACCCACCGCAGGTACGGCATCAACACTCATTCGTTTGCTCATCTATCTCCAGTTACACAGCTGTTAAATATATATATATATATATATATATATATATATATATATATATATATATATATATATATATATATGCTCTATACGGCTAGTTATATCTACTCGAGCAAGTTCGCTGAGGAAGAGTAGAGGCAATCAGCAGATGTGTATTAGCTAGCCCACCCATATCGGTATTCGTTTCTTCAGGTATGGATATTCTCTATCGCCGAACATTCTGGGACTCTGTCCGCGGGTTAAGCAAGGGTCGCTGCATTGTGCTGATTACGCACATGATGGAAGAGGCTGACTACCTGTGTGACCGCTTGGCTATAATGGTTGACGGTGTTATTACATCTGAGGGGACGGCACTGAGTTTAAAATCAAGGTGGGAAAGCATGCACCAGCTTGCACGTAGATAAATGTCAAAGTTAGCCAAGCTGAGAATTTGGCTGTTTTTCGGATGGCTGGCTGTATGCATGCAGCCTGCGCCCTGAACATAGGCTCTCTAACTTCCTTTTCCTGCTTGCGACTCTGCATTTTGCCCGGGCAGGTTTGGCAGCGGCTATATTATTTCCGTCATACTCCTCAAGCAGGCCGAACCAGAGGTGCAGCAGGCAAATAAGAAACTGCGGCAGTTGCTTCAAACGTTCGAACATCCCCCTGCAATCACAGAAATCTCCAGACATGAGCTGCGAATCGTTTGTCCATTTAGTCACTCCTTTCAGCTACCACGGTGGGTGCAATGCAGTGAAAACTTCGACCAACAGGCACCCACCCATCAACCCTCCCCTTACACACACGCAGAGTGGCGGCGAGTAGACCGGCGCATCGATGCAAACACGTTGAGGATGCATGACGAGTAGAGTTCTTCCTAGCTAGTGAACCACTGGTGAGAGTTGTTGCTATCGGCCGTTGAACGGCTGGTCGTTTTATGTATTGGTGCGTGTTGTGCTGCGCGGCGCAGTCTTTTTTCCGAGTTGGAAATAAATGCTAACTACTACGGAGTCGAGTGCGCTGTCCTCGGTTTTGCTTCTCTTGAAGAGGTTTTCCTAAATGTAGTGAAACTTGCTGCTAGAGGTGGGGCGTCGGAGTCGACAGGAGCAGACGAAGCAACCAATCCCAACAGACTCTCTCTAGCTAACAATGCAGCGCAAAACGGAGTTGAGCTCAACCCACCGGTGGGAAGTGCAAATGGCCGCTGCTCGAGTTCGTCGCGCAGAGTTTCTGCAACCCTACGGTAAGCAGTAGCTGAGGACAGTGATGGGAACTCTTGTAACCAAACTCCCCTCCAGCACCCCATATATCAAGAGTCAAATGAACCCACTAAGACTGTTCTAGTTGCACATGCTTGTCATCACGTCGTTTGAACCCGTTTTGCACCTATTTCGTATGACAGCAAGCGGTGAAAGCCGCCCAACTCCGTGCGCTGTTTCCGTTTTACGCTATATATATACACACAATGGGCTTTTTCCTAAACTTCACGTTTTGCTTTGCATTTGCAGACGAGCAGCCGTTGATCCTGCAGAGTGTGCAGATCATGTGGCCGCCACTGCTCCTCAGCCTCTGGCCCTAAGATGCACAGACAGCGGATTCGAGTCGTGCGAAAGCAAACAAGCTGGAGGGGCTCCGAGAAGCTCTTCATCTGCATCTGCCATTCCAAGCGACCCAAATGCCATCCCTCATTCTTCCGCTTGTGGTTCCAGCTGGCTGGCCGCCCACCAGAAACGCGGGCGGGCTAGAAGAGGACTGCTATGGCAGCTTGCAGTGCTTCGTGCATTAGTTGCAAAACGCATTCGCCTTCTTTACCGCGGTGAGGCTTATTATGGTTGCCACCCTTAGCAGTGTCGCTTCATTGCGGTTGTCTTGTAATAGTGTTACACAATGTGCTTTCCCGGTTGCATGCCTTTGCAGACTGGGCTCTTGTGACGGTTTCCTTCCTTATTCCGCTTCTCCTAATGGGGTTGACCCTGTACCTGCGATCTGCGTGAGCTAATCTAGTCACCAGTAGACACGTAATCCAATTCCCGAGTGTTCAGGTTGAACTATGAAGGCGCAAATCTAAGTCTCCCTTGGAGCTTTTCGCCTCAACGTCTGCATACGCGTTTTGGTTTCCCCTATATTTCTGCCAGACCTTCTTTCTTGATGCTGCAATTGTCTACGTCTGTGCGACCTGTGCTACTCTCTCTAGGAAGTCAGAGCCGCGGGTTCCCTTAACTGGACAACAACTGTTTGAATACCGACTGCCAAAAGGCATTCATTCGGAGGTGCCGTATGGAGGGGCAGGGTGGATATTAGGGGCTCTTGACGACTGCTACTCTGTGAGTAGTGCCTGGTTCTGATATATATGTCTAGGTAGCGCAGGGATCACTAATAGATCACTAAATGGAAATTCACTGAAGGGGCAATCTCGGTATTTCAAGGTTGGTGTAGTTTAAGGCAGTTAGTTGATGTTCCACATGCATTCCAGTACGCAACTCTTACACTGTTTTTAATACTCAATATATGCATTTTTTTATATGCAGCACATACAGTTTGATATGCTGTGCTCACGCTACTTGGCTTCTCTTCCTTTGCAGCCCTTTATGACTCACAACAACGTCTCTGAACATGTGAAGGACAACAATGATATGTACGGATTCCTTCTGGACGGCTACTTTGGCCCACATGATCCTCGCTTTGGTGCTTACGTGGCTCCCCCAGGCCAGGCAGATATATCTGATGAAACCAGCCAGTTAGAAGGTATGATGGAGCAGGAAGGAACATCACCACATCTCCGCTACAGCGTCACCCATTCAGCGTCTGGTTTTCGTCTCTTTGAATGCTTATTTAATGTGCATGCGTGTCGACCCACTGCAGTAACCATCTGGCACAACTCCACCTTCCGCGACTCCATACCTTTGCACTACAGTCATCTCCTAAACTGCATAGCACAACAGCGCACAGGAATGACGGACTCCGTTTTTGTCAGGTAAGGAACAAATTACCGTTGGATAATATATCTCACTCGAGCCACTTCCCTGAATACGATGGTTGTTCTGCACGACAGCACGACAGCCCTTAACTACACCTTTAAACAGCCTCATCTGACACTCTGTTCTATTTTCAGCAATCAACCATTCGAAGACACTGACGACAAGTCTATGGATGGTCTAGTGGTTGGCTTCTTTACTGTAATTGCATACTCATTCGTTGCTGCCGGCGTGGGGAAGGTCTGCATAGTGGAGAGGGTGCGGAAAGTTCGCCATCAACAGATTCTTGCCCAGGTCACTCCTTTTCAGTACTGGATATCGAGCTACGTGGTGGACATGGTTCTCCTCCTTCTTCCCTGTTCCCTCATTTTCGGCATGATGCTTTGGGTTGACATTACGCCCCTCGTAAGCGTCGTCCCTCATATTCCTTCCAGTCGATGCACCTTAACAAAAATGCGAGCTGTCTTGAATACGTATTCACCATTATGGCGTCCACGTGGAAAAGACGCTTGGTTCTACAAGGAGTTGTTTCGATTTTCCTGCGCTGTTGTTTCTGGGTTATTGCGATTTCAGGTGGGGCCTCACCAGCGTGGTGCCTTCCTTCTTGGCACCGCATTATTTTGTTTTTCGGTTTGTCCGTTAGGATATGCTATTTCAATGGGTCTCGATTCCGCAATGACCTTTGTCATTGTTATGCTGCTCCTGGGGTGGTCTCTCCCCTCCATTCAAGCTCTCTTTACGGAGGTCAGCGGGCTGCAAGGCATGTACAACCAGTACCTCCGATACGCCTTCATGCTGCTTCCCCATGCTGCTCTCTGTGAGGTAAGGAGCATAAAAATTTGCCTCCCGCAGGACAATCATATTCACTATCAAGTTCAGCTGCGGTCTTGTATCCAGAACCACTGTAGGCTATCTGTACTGTCTGGCGTTTTGTACACTTCGAAATACCATAGTGAGTGAAGTCTACATTTTAACTAAACGCGCTCGGTGGTATTTTTGAATTCGGTTGTTCGCAGCTGTTGACCAACCTCGCCATGATGAATCAGCTTGTTGGTGGCAAGATGCAGGCGGAGGAGTTGGTGAATTGGATGGAGTTCTCAAAGACAGGATGCCCTCTGCTGTATTTAGGCTTGACGATTCTGCTGAACTGGATGGTTTGCATTGCCGTCGACTGCGCTATCAACTATCCCATGAGCAGAGCGAGAGCGTTTTCCTCCGTGCGCAGATTTGTACTTTCTGTATTGAGGCTTCCAGGTCGCCTCCTTTGTCGAATCTGTTCCTTTTGTCTATGCTGCTTGCCTGGCCGCGGCGGAAACAGCCAAATGAGGATGAGAACAGCGCTCTCTGCAGAAACATCTAGGAAAGCAGGACAAAGGACAATGAGGGCAAACGATGACGTAGGATTCTTCAGGAGCAGAAATGCAAACAGCATCTTGGGTCTTAATGTACAAGTAAGCTGTTACTGCGCTCTAACAAAACAGATATCTCAACTGATTAAGGCTACAATCTCTCTGCTTCAGAATTAACTGAGCCTGACATACACCTACACACCTCATCACTCAGATTTTAGCTTCGTTGTTGGTCACCGAATATGAGGATGTGCAAATAGCCTTTTGAGCTGAGGACTGAGTCTACAAGGTAGCCTAAGGGAATGCACCTACTGTGATGGATTTTTTGTGCGCTCCAAATTGTGTTGCGTCGCAGGAGGAAGAGATGAAGGCAGGTAAAGCAGTTCAGCAACTGCGACGCCGTTTTCAACACCGCGACTTAAGCCTCTCTTCCGGCAGTCATATAGACAGCGAGGATGCGGGCAGAGACGTAGAGGAAAGTCAAAATCCGTCTTCTCTCGGCTTACCGTACTGCGCAACCGATGGAGTTGAACTGCCTTTAGTCGTGCACAGACTCGAGAAGACCTACCCGCCTCCCATAATGCAACGCTGCCTCTGCTGTTGTTGCCCGCAAACTCGGAGCAGCTGTTGGCCATTCTGCCTCTCCTGCAAGAGGCCACAACCAACTAGGGCGCTGAAAGGCGTTTCCTTTTGTGTGCCTCGAGGCAAGTGTTTTGCATATATTGGTGAGTAGGGCAACGGATATTCCTAAATCTGCACTGCCACATATACAGAGTCGCCTACAGCTCAGCCTCTGCCTGTTGTAGACATCGAAGCGCCGTTTTTGTACTTCTGCATCTTCTTGATTCCGACAGTCCAAGTCTTTAAATGCTTGGCCTGCAGGCACGGGATGAAGAGCAAGCCCGTTTCATCTCTGCCGTTAAATCTGAGTGCATCCGATTCTTCCTGCAGGTGTAAATGGTTCCGGAAAGACTACAACATTCAACATCGTCGGTAGTCTGATGTCTCAGACTGCTGGCTCTGTTTTCATTGGTGGATACGACGCTCTCCTTCAAACAGAGAAGGCACGAGCTAAGCTGCGTTACTGCCCACAGTCAGGTACGCAGTCGAACACAACATGTCAGCACTGGCACATGACAAAGGCTTGCCCTGCATCAATACCAGATTGAGGGTTTCGGAAACACTCCTTTGCTGTGGGTTCCAGAGTCACCCCAACGCCCACATTGTCGTTTTCCATCCCCTCCTTGCCCCTGGTTGCGCCGGGTTCGGGGACACAGTCCTTTTGTCTGGTCGCGTTGGTTATCTTGTCTTGAGAAGCAGTTTTGGTGTGCGCTGTTGCCTTTTTCTGCATTGTGTTGGAGAAAGTATTTACTGATCCGCTTCCATGAGTGAATATGACTGCTGATGTTGTTAATGTGCTCGCAGACGCTCTCTTGCCTACCCTGACTGGCGCAGAGCACATCTATCTTTACGGGTGTCTGCTGGGCTTGCGACGTCACCAGCTACGGGATTTCTGTTCGGACTTCTTCAACGTAATTGGGTGCAGCAAGTATATGCACACCTTGGTCAAGTCATACTCTGGGGGAACGAAGCGCAAGCTTAGCCTGGGTATAGCCATGTTGGGAAAAGTTGATTTATTGCTGTTAGATGAGCCGACGAGTGGAGTGGACCCAGAAAGCAGACAAGTCTTGTGGCGCATGATTGAAAACGCGAAAAACTGTCAGACTTCAGGCAAAGCAATCGTCCTCACCTCGCACTCCATGGAAGAATGCGAAGTTCTGGGCGACCGCGTGGGGATAATTCACAAGGGGAGTATGTTGTGCGTAGGCACTCCTGCAGAGCTACGCTCAACATACGGTCACGGCTACCAAATTGAATGCGTCTTCGTTGCTGCTTCTGTTTCCCAAGACCCCTCATTGCCTCGCCGTTTTATTTCAGCTCTACAAAAAACACTGCCTACTCTCCGCGTTCTCCACCGCATGGCGTACAAAGTCACAGCATCCGTGGCTAAGGGCGCCGTCTCCCTTGCCACGATATTCTGCGAAGTAGAAGCGGCAAAGGTACGCACCAACTCCATTTCCTAAATGCATGCAACCGCAACGCACTCCTTCCTTGGTGGTATTGGGGAACCTTGAGCATGAGCTTAGTCTACAAAACACGTGCGGCGGTCAGTCGGCGAGAGCCCAAGCGTGAGGGTTGTCGCTCGGCCTATGACACTGCAAATGCACCGTAAGCCCCTTAAATGCATGATATGTGTTGCTTTTCCTGCTACTCCCGCAGGCTCCGTTTGCTTTAGAGGCGTACGTCGTCTCGGAAACGACTTTGGAAGAAGTGTTTGTTGAAGTCAGCCTCCGGGCTGATGGGAAAGCGGTGGGAATGTAACTGGGTACGATGGCCCCAAGAGGATGCCTGAACTATCCACACGATATGGGCCTTCAATACCGTAGAGTGAAGATCTATTAACGAAGGAGTTTAGAAGGGATATTGAGGAAGCACATTTGAATGCTCACTGCACCGCAGAGCACCTGACAGATGTAAGGAGCCATAAAGTTCATTGAGATGCGCTCCAGAGCACACGAGTCGAGTAGTCTGTCCTCTGTTGAGCTGCTTGACTCGTTTGCTCCTGCTACTAGCAGGACAAGCCAAGATGGCAGCTGTTTGTAATTCGTTTCATTCCCGTTGGTTAGCCTTTAGTCCGCTTTGGTGGTTGCGCTGGCCATGCGTGAAGTGTGCCCTGAAGCTGATGGGCTAACGTAGGCCAAAATCACCACTTTATATTTTGGGGAAAAGTGGTGGAAACTAGGACTGGCCCTTCTGGGAAAGCGACTTGCGTCGCTATAGTAATCGCTGGATAAGCGAGTGATGTCATCCACTGTATTGCATTGATCGTGGAGGTGGGACGGGTTCGTACATTAGGTGTTTTATTGAGGTGCATGCAACCATGTAGCGCCTGTTCTACTAAAGCACTGTCATCTAGGTAGCAACTGTTCACTAAGGCATACGTAACAGCCTAGCAATTGTTATAGTACGGCATTTGCAACGCTTAGAGCCACCCCGCGTTGTACTGTAACGGAAGAGTTCGAACAGGGCTCTACACCGGAAGAATAACCGGCTTTTGGTGAACAGCTCTCCACAGGGGAGTTCTTTTCACAAGCTTAAACCAAGTGGAACGTGTCAATGGAGATGGGAAATGCATTCAGCGCAACAAACATCGCACACAAGGAAAAGGGGAGCAGCTCCTGCCGTCCTCCTACAACTGCTTATCTACACATCGAACACAGAGGTACGTCTTCTGTCGCTTGGGCATTTTTCAATTTTTTTCTTTCTCAGCAGACCTTGAGACTTCGCCTTCCACCTCAATTTGGAGGGATATGGCGCGCCGGGCCAGTGAGATCGGATGAGGATAGATTGGATGAAGGGGTATTACAACAAACAGATACAATGTGAGGTTTCCTTTCATCCCTTCAAGAACTGTTAGACGCGTGTTAACTTGGAACCCGCAATGCGGAGAGAGCACAGGGATGTTGGTGTAGCGTGCGTGGTGATGACTCGATGATGAAGCGCTTTTCACGATATCTCGCAACATAGAAACATTATTATTTTGCTCGGTTGTGGTGCAAAAGCTTCTAATAACTCCCTATAATGGTCAGAAAGTAGGGGTGCTGGGAGGCTCGAGAGGAACATGAACGCTCTTGTCTGTCACGTCATGATGGCTTGGTCCACTGGGACTGCGTGCAGCTCAAAAGCCACACCTCCTTCTATGCCTCTATTATTTTGAATTTGTTGGCTTTCTCTCTTTATTAAATTGGAATTATTGTTCTTCCCGTGTTTCGTCCTCTACCAGATCCAATATGTCGGGTCCTCCCTTCGGCCTGTCGTCTCAACGCGTAAGCCGACGCTTCGATCAGCAGACCTTGTGCATTTTTTTCTTCCCTTTCATCGATATTAGGTTTGAAATAAGTCGCAATAAAACTAAGTTATTACCAATGATGTCTCAGGCGAATGATTAAACCTCGAGCCCTTCGCTGCCTCCCGCGAGGACGATGATGGTCGGGGACACTTGGGTGTCGCAGCTGACGATAATTGTCTCCTTGTAGTGACCCTGATTACCTTAAATAACACTTAAATTGTATTTTTGCATTTTATATACCACATTGTAGTCATTGTGGCTCTTCAGCTCGACCGCCAGAAGACCTGTGTGTAGCATGACGCCTGCTGGCGCTTGTGCGGTATTGTTTCATTTCTTTGACTTCGTTGATGTTGGATTTGCAACGCGTGCATACTTCGGTTGTCTCTTCTGTTCTCCTTTGCCTCTTTGATCAGAGGCAAAGAAGACAAGCCTAAGAAAAAGGCTCGCGCTGGGCCGGTGCTTCTTAGGATTTTGTTGTGCCTGAGGTTTGATGGTCTATAGGCTTTAGGGTTTAACGTTTCTGGGTGTGGTTTTGAATCTGCAGCGAAAGGAGCTACAGGTGGCTTTCCACGCATTTGATAAAGATAAGACGGGGAAACTTGACGTAAATGAAATGAAATATCTTCTCAAGTCCATTGGAGTCTGTCTGTCAAGAAGAGAACAAAAGGCGCTGGAAGCGGGTGAGGAAGAAGCAAGTCATTGACCTGGAGTTTAGCTTTCCTCATATCCTCCTGACTCGGTAGACTGAAAACACCTCGGGATACTGATGTCGTAGGATTCAGGGCATATTCAGGGTTTCACTTGTACTGTATACCTGACCCATACATGTATACATATATATATAATATATACATACTTCAACTAACAATGAATTTTATACGGCTTTCCTTCTACTTTTGCTACTGCAGAGTTCGCGGATAGGGGGGAGTTTGACTTTGAAGACCTCCTGACCATTGGTCAGGTAGTTTACAACGACGTTGCAATTGAAAGGGCCCTCGTCTTGGCACTCAGAAAATTAACTCCTAAAGGAGCAAAGACAGTTTCTAGAACAGTCCTAAGGGACATGCTGCTAAACTTGGGTGAGCTTCTTTTTCTTGTTTTTGTTCTTGCTTCTACTGTTGTTGTGTTGTTGCTGTTGTCGTTGTTGTTATTTTTCTTCATCTGCTTCTCCTTCTTCCTATGCTTTCTCCTTCATGGTAATTGTATGTGTGCCTGCTTAGTGTTGCTCGCTGCTATCCTTCGGTGTGTTGGTTTCTCGCTCTTTGTCTGCTTGGTGGGTTGTTTGCTTCCTTGTTCTTTGTGATGCACGTCGCGACCTCGAATGCAATTATTTTTGTCCTTGTTGTATTTCCTTACTTGTTTTGCTTATTTCTACTCCTACTTCTTTTGTTGTATACAGGCATGGGAGTTAAACTTACAGAAGAGCAGGTGGATATGTTCCTAGACATCTGCTGCAGCGAGGACGGAAAGCGAAGTGATCAAATACAAATTTCAACCTTCATCTACAGGCAAGTGCACTTTCAGCACTTATAGGGCTATTCGCAACTATATATATATATATATATATATATATATATATATATATATATATATATATATATAGTTTATTCGATTGCTTTCGCTTAATTCACACATTTATCTAGGTGTATTTGCTCGCTTGACGCATTTATATTTAGGTGTATTTGTTCGCTTATAATATTCATTTAGGCTGATTTATTAGATTATACTCCAGATGCATGCAACAGTTGGTATAGATGTGCTTGTAATGTCTTCAGGGTCCTACGCGACTGATGTAAAGGGGACGGGAGGAGTTGCAGCAGTTATTACACTGTATTGATTGTTGCTGCTGCTGCAGTTGCTGCAGAGGTTGCTGTTGCTGCTGCTGATCCGGTGTTTCTGGTTTCTATTAATCTCTTACAGGCCAATCCCAGACATTTATTTTATTGGTCTTCAATTTTTTTTGTAGAGGGGCCGAGCGCTGTAGAGGCTGTTGGGGCTTTCTTTGCGCTTTGCCTTCGCATTCCTGGGGATAAACTGATGTCTTAATATCTAATATTAATAGATATTCATATTAAATGTAATAATATTATATAATGATATTATATTAATATAGTAATACTGCTTAACTCAGAGACTGCAGCCTGCAAGAACACTGCTGAAAGAGATGTAATATTGTATAAGAATAAAAGCTTAGAGAGACTGTCATATACGCTATAACAATGCTAATACTAAGTAACAAAGGCGGTTGTATACTAGTAGTGCTT